TTTTTTTTTTTAAATATGCAAGGGCATATTTTCTTTTATTCGTGCATATGCTGTTAAAGTTATACGAACGTCGTCCAAGCTAGAACCGATCATCAATACGAGTGACTCTCAAGACACGATGCGCATTATGGAGCAGCAGAAAAAAGTTCACAGCTAAAACAGCATATAAGCACGAAAAAAAAGCGAAAAATCTAGTATTTTGCTTTCTAGAAAAACGAGGAAAAAAGGAAGGAAATAAACACCAAGATAACCTGCAGCATGGGCTAACCATCCAGTAACACACTTTGGTCAAAACAACGATCAATTAGAAATTGTGTAAACACACAAGAAACGAAATTCTACACAAAAAAACTCAAAAATTGTCGAATATACAAGAATTTTTGAAAATGACAGAACTTATGCAGGAACTTCACACACTAACCACCTGGTGATCAATGTTGTAAAAAATAATAGAAGTATGATATGTGACAGCAATCAGCAATTTCCCTTTAGTGATCTGAGAACTCAACCAATGCAAACTCGCAACTGAGGGGAACGGGGCATTCACGTCGCCAACAACTAACAACCGATATATGGGCGAAGGAGCCCGACTGCGACAAAAAGAACCATCCGCGGCGTAGACATCATAGTCCAGCGGCAGTTTCGCTGTTTCCGGATGGTGCTTCTCAGGTGAGTCGCGTCTCAGAATTCTTGCCCTTTCACTGCGGTAGTCGGACCAGCTGGTAACGCGCCTTGCAAACTTATCAAACTTCGGCCAATAACGAGGTCTGAGTATTTCTCGCGGGTCATTACGAATTTCCTCGTTTTCATCCAGTTTGAAAGATTTCCCAGTGATTTCAGATAATTTCTCTGATACTTGGAAAACTTCCATTACCTTCGGGTGTTTGTGAAGACATGTGATTGTTAAATTTGAGCCTTTCAATGACGGGAATTGATCCAGAAGCGCCGAAGGGAAATGAGGTTCACGAGAATTAACAGATTCTTCACCGCTACCGCTGCTGCGGCTGTTGATGCTGGCAGATGTTTCGAGAGAATTATGAGGTAATATAACGTAGCCGGCACGCTTCAAATACGAATAAACGAAGTACCTGGCAGGAGTGATGCAAAATTTTTCCAGTAACCCGTAGCACTGTTGCACCGAAAGCTGCCGTCCACGATGGAGCACAGAGGCCAGGCCGGCCTCAACCATCCATACTGCTTCTTCTACGAAAAAGTAATGGCCATCGCTACGGTGTATTCCCATGGTTGCTTCACGAGCATTCCTTGTCTGGATTGCTTTGAAGGTACCCCGATTAGCATCGTAGTTAATAATGGTTAGCTTCTTTACATTTCGACCGCCAGTTGACAGGTACTCGAAATGGCGCCGTATCTCGCAGCCTGTCATCGATTCCATGAGCCACTGCAAAAGGTGCGTACATAGTTCTGTTCATTTGGAGCATCAAAAAGCAATATTCCAAAGAAAGTTTTTAAAAAATTATATTCACTTGATATTGCATGCTGAAATACTTGAAAGACTTAAGCAAAGTTATAAACGCTATTTCAAGAACGGATATTAGCTAACAGTCAAGTATACTGGAAACAACAAAGAATTAAATTTATAGCATATACAGAAAATTAGTAATTTAGCTAAAATTACGACATTTCGATCCATTAAACTTTTGAATCTTTTTTCTCTCACCCCTTCTCCTCCTCCACTCCTCATAAACAAAAACGGTGATCTGACGCCTAACTACCAAAAAAAGCAAGTCTGTCCGGAAAAAAGGTATGGGGGACTCATGCTGGTAATATTATTGAGATGTTCTCGTATACAGGGCACAGGAGCGCCAGGTAAGTAACATCCCTCAAGTCAGTGCCCATCACTTCAGTTCGATACTAGGAAGATCCGCTGACAGGAGACGCCCGGAAGACAAATAAGTATTAAATTAACGAAAAAAAGGCACACATTCACAAAGTCCCATAATAAACAAACTAAACGACACTGAAAAAGTTTTTACAATGTTAAGACGGAAGGAGCGCATTTGCCAGCTAACACGACCGCCCGGCAGTCTTGAAATGTAGTCGCGGACAGATTCAAGATTATGAAAACAGAGCAAAAACTAAAGCGGGAGAGAAGTGGGAGAGATGTCTGAAGTAACTTCCTCCCCCTCTCGAATCCGACGAAAACGAAGAATTCCGACAAAAGCAGTCGTTTTCACGTATGTTTATGTCTCACGTGCCGGTAAGTGAAATTTTTAGTGGGCGAATTTTCAGGGTAAAGTCCCCTGCGACCCCGGAAGTTCAAATTGAGCTTTCATGTAAGCCTGGGTCTCTCGTACGGCCTCGTGAAACTTTTGGCACGGAAAATTATTATCTCGAGAGCTAGAAGAGTTAAGAAGCTGAAAACTTCGAGAATGTTTTTTGCCTCTATAAGTGTCTGATACGCTCAAATTCAGCTCCCAAATATGACGCGGCCTCAAGCAGGACCACGTGAACGTTTTGGCACGAAAGTTGCTTGGAAGCCAGAGAAGTAGGAGGTAGAAGTTTCGGAACGATATCTACCGTTCGAGGTTTCACATTCAAATTTCGCATACGTCTGTATTTCAAAGACCGACACATGAAATTCTTAATGGGAAATCTCGTAGCTTAGGATGCAAACAGCAGAACAGTGAACGCCCTTATCAGGCAAACATCTGCTGGACGAAACTGTGCCAAACGCATGTTTGCACCGGTTACTCTAGTATAGGCTGATTCAGAGCGGTCTCTTGGCGGGAGAGAAGGGGGGGGGGATTTTTCTCCCTCTTCGTCACCACACCCACCCCTCGGTTAGCTAGCAACCCATCGCTCGACCGCCCTGCTACCCCCGCTAGTAGACTCCAAACAACGGTGATGATCGGGGGAGGAAGGTATGGGGTGAGGGCACGGGGGGGGGGGGGGGGGGGGGGGGGG